ACTCAGAAATTGTGTGTGTGTGTGTGTGTGTGTGTGTGTGTGTGTGTGTGTACAGTTTTGAAGAAAGACGCTTAAGAAAAAGAAAAATAATTGAGATTTGCGGACCTATTTGCAAAACTTTTCTTAGCTCTCAATCCATTCTGAGTAGATCAAACATTTGTCCACTTGGAAGGAGATGTCAGATTCTTTTGTTTGAAACAGACCACTTAGGAGCATGCTAGGATGGGGCCATATAAAGAAGTAAGAAAATTTTAACATTTGCAAATACAAACTTCACAGTATCAGGTTTTAAATTTTTGAGCGAGTTGTCAAGAAATGAAAAACTGAATTCGACCTGAGTACTAAAAATGAAGTGTATGTTCCACAAATTTAGGTGCTTTAAGTTGAATGCATATGTTTTATAAAAAGCATGTAACCAAAAGTACACTTCCATTTTCAGAAAACTAAGCTGTCAACCCAGGCGAATGTCACTAGGATTTGAGAAATATGTAAAGAGACATCACATTACTTAATAACCTTGTTTTTTTCTGGATCTGGCCTTTATTAATAGAAAGAAATCTGGATAAGCTCTAAAAAGACTGAATTTAGCGATCAGTTCTGATCTGCATTTCCTTCATTTTTCAATGAGAAATACTCCTCATGTGAGCTGATGACTGGGACACACCGATCTGCAACAAGCAAGTAGAATAAATAACGGTTAAAGTGTGTCAACATTTATCTGGAATATTCAATCCCACTCCCTAAACCCACCCCCCCACCCCCCCGCAAGAAGTCGTTTGTCTTCCGTGTCCTGAGCTGTTTTGAGAATTCTGGCAAATACGGCAGTTAAACAAACTTCTCACACAGTATAAATACTGTCTGCTCAGGAAAGGCTTCCAGTGTTTATAGTCCATAAGTGAAGAGTAAAAAGTCTGCTATTTAAACCAAGAATAGTGCTCTTGAAAACGTCTGAGCAAAGTATTCAAGCAAAACTCTGGTGGCAGATCTGGGTTCCTGGCTCTTCCTGAATCCCTTGTCAGGAGGAACGCCATTCTTTTGTTACTTTTCTTGAAATTACCCGGTTACGTTTTAGAAGGGACTGCCTGGCCAGGGGGACCTGGTCACAACTTCCCTTCAGCACAAGGAAGAAGAAAACGTCTCATTTTCCTGAAGGCCTGGGAGGATGAACTGCGCTATGCATTGTTATCAGCGTGGTGTAATTTGACTGTTGACAAAGTATCAGTGGCAGTGAGAAGCAGCGAGCGCAGTTAGGAGTGCCGCGGATTGTAATCAAGAAGATGCTTAGCTGTGCAACACTGCATCCTGAGCAGATTTGAATCAACATTGCCTTAAGGGGATACACACACACCAAAAGAAAAAAATCCATTCATTTTTAGAGAGAAAATTAGAGTGGCACTTGAAGTGAAATCTGACGTGCGTTAATTGCTCTGCCGCTCTCCTAATTAGAGACTTTCAGATTCGTTCCTGCCGTCACTGTGAGGGCGCACTGTCTTGCTGGACAAATACTAAAATTGCAAATTAGTTTGATCAGGAAGTTTTACATATCAAGATTGAACTGCTCCCCCTGCCCCCCTTCCGAAAGGTGGACAGCTAGGGAGTGAAGGCCACCACTCTCTTTACCTTCAACCCAGCCCTAAAACAAGCCTCCTTAAAATTGTTTCATTATGACACTTAACGCAAAGGAAGCAGGTGCTGCTGTGATTTCCTTAAACAGATGGAAATGTACCCTTCATATTCTGCTTCATATGAAATATTTCAGGTGGGAAAAAGCCAGTGAAATGCTACATTACATATACATTCTCATATTTCTACTTACAGCTCCCAGATTGGGGAGAGACAGAGTTTTTCCAGAGACCACGTCACATGTCACATTTCCCCCAGGTCTGGGTCTAAGCTAGCACACCAGCTTCCCTTTCTTGTCTTAAAGTAATTATACTGCTGTTTGGCCCTGGGTTTGTCACCAAATATGATACCATAATAATTTGGGCCTCCTTTTTCAACTTCTGTCGCCGGAGCCCTTGAACCACTCTTAATTCATTAACATAGTGAATTTTTTTCAATTTCCCATTGTCTTGCAATAACAATATTAGTGCTGGGTGAGGGCTTGATTGGAGCTAAATTACTTGTTACCTGCTGGCATTTATTTATATGGCATTGAATTATAAAGCTTTGCTATTGTCATGCCTTGGGCGAATTGTTTATGACACCAGTAATAGGAGTAATTGTTATTGTTGAAATTACCTGTCAGCTACCCATAGCGGTGGCCCTTGTCCCACTGACAAATAGTGACAAGGGAGAGGTATCCTCCATGCGTCCCCTGATGGTTTCTCCTCTGATAATAAGAAGTGCAGGGCCTTTGATAATTTGCCTGTCACTGTTGAGTGCAGCTCAGAGAGAGTTGGCCAAATTGTTGTCATTCACTTTGACAAAGACAGCAAAATGCTACTGTGCGAGTAGAGGATTATCAAAATAAATGAAATCACTTACAACCCCTTTGTTTGGCTCAAGAATTGCCTGCCTTTGTATGAGGCTGTGAAATCAAGGTCCAGTTCTTATAGGTAAACCTCTGTTCCTCTAGGATGAGGGTGTCAGGGAAGGAAAGAAGATGTTAGAAGACCCATATTTTTCATTGGTTAGTAAGAAACTTAAATTTGAATATGAATTCAATAAAATTATAGCATGAATTCTAAATATGTGCATGAATGCATTAATTTGAAACATGTAAAATACACAGCTTTTCTCTCAGTGCAGTCAATGTGAATAAGCTTTCAAAAATGCATCCGTTTCCCTTCCACAGTCAAGTTTTATTTAAAAGTTTAGAATTCGACACCCTTGACTCTTCCAGACTTGAAAAATTATATAGTCAAATTTAGGATTATTATCTCAAATGGCCAGTTCCTTTTCATAAATTAACTTGTGTTTGTATACTATCTTCATGTGTAAAGATATAAATGAAACAAAGTCCCCGATATGAAGCATCAATTACAGCAGACTTATGGAGGAAGGAAAATAGCCCTGTTATTGCCCAAGCTCAAATATAAATATTTGCATTTTCAGCCCCCTGGTCGCAGAGGGTGAGCCTGTCATGCAGAGGGGAAGGAGTTGGAGGAGAGTGGGGGTGGGGTCTAGGAGCGCCCAGGCCTGAAACAAATGGTCTGTGAGCTTTGTTCTTGGAAAAACCAGAATCAGCCTCACCTTTCCACAAAAGGCATCATTTCATGCCAGGGAAATTCTTATTTTTTAAGGTGCCTGTGAGGCTGTTTTTCATTGATTTCTTTGACAAATACTTGCTGCTAAAAAAGTCAAGAAGGAAAGGAAAAGAAGCGCTGGAATAGTTGTAAAATATTGGCTTCTTATAGGATAGTAATCAGTTGTTTATTGGTCTCTACCAGACAAGTAATGACCAACCACAGTGTTAAGTGCCAGCCACATTGCCTTGGGCCCTTCTCACCTAACATCAGCCATTATCTGATTAGAGAACCTCCCAGGAAGTCGCTATTGCATAACTTTATGGGTCTTTACAGCGCAGGCTGGCTGGCAGGAAGGCAGGAAAACTACCTAGGAGGGTTGATAAAGCAACAGTGATTTTATTTCCCCCACTTACACCTTGCTCTCAGACACCAGCAGCTGCAGAAGAAACCTAAAATTGATCCAAATAGGAACTGTGTGGGGCATGGGGGCGACAGAAGGAAAGCGATCTATCCTTTAAAGCTTGACTTGGGCTGCACAGCGTGAGGTAATGCCACTTAGAGGCACCCAGATGTTTTCTGAGGTGCTACGTATTTAAAGCAAGCAAAGAGGATTTGAGCAGCACTGAAATCATATATCAGCAATGCAGCAATAGGAAGAAAATGTGTTTCTAATCTCTAATAGTAATGGATTCTTCTACAGGCAGCTCTCTGTGCTTAACTGTGTTGAATGTCCCTGATTAACAAGTGGAGGAGTGACATAATTAAGAGGTTATCTGTGGTAATAAAAATGCCCAAACTTGTCTTGGAATGTGATCCCTGCAGGAGATAATTTTTTAAGAATGTAACATGTCCTTGCTTTCTGTGTCAAGACACACGTTAGTGATCCCAGGAGGGAAAATAAACATATGTTTTTAAATGAAGATATTTAAAATGTACCCATATTTCAGCATGTTGCTATAACCTGGTCTTTTTTATGTTCCTCCTATAAAACCTAAATTAAGCCTCTTAGGAGTGGTTTTGCTGCAGGTTCCCTCGGAAAAACACAATACATTTTAAATGGTTCCAGGACCTGAGTGCACTTTAATATGTAATCACCAGTGTGCACGCTCTCCTCCCCGCTGCTGCCAGGGACCAGCTTTATAAAAGAGACTTCTTTAAATTTTAACTTCATTGGAAATGTAAACTTTTAGCAACTAGTAATCGTCCCTGTAGCTCTGTTGATGAAGCAGCTGGCAGCAAATTTATTCTCTCCTCTCCCTCTCTCTCTCTCTCTCTCTCTCCATCTTGAAACACCCATCAGTGTCAAAAGAAACTGCACATGTCCCCTTTGCTGCTCTAGCTAAAACTCAGCAATGTTAAGAAAAAAATGTCAGAATATGCTCAGAGGACACAGGACGATTTCTGCACCAGGTTAGGGAGTCTGGTAAGAATGGGCAGCACGGTTCTCAAAGATGCAGCTCTGTAAAATGCTCAAGCAATTCTGTTCAGAAACATTTGATATCGTATTTGGTAACGAACAACCTTCAGTTGTCTTAAAATCTCGTTGTTCTTTAAAATCCTTCATCGTGTATTTTAAAATGAAAACAATAATCCATTCCTCCTTCTTGGAATGGGTCTCCAGCCAGGTACAGCGTGAAAGCACATCTCAGACCCTTCAGTGCATTTCCCTCTTCTTTCTAAAATTCTTGGGATGGTCATTCCAGAAAGCAGAGAGAATTGATGGGCTCTTACACGTGCAAATTCACCAAGCTGATCAGTCCTTCTTCCCCTAAAAGAAATGTTCGTGCAGCTTTAGGTGTCTGCAGACAGCATACTTATATTTCACAAAAGCATTTACATCTCATTTGTGTATTAAAAATGAATAGCTGGCCAAGGCTTTAGTTTGTTTCCTCCTATTTTTTAAAACAATATTCAATAATCACCAAACAGTATAATAGCAGTAAAATACTCATCCTGTCATATCTATGTATTTAAAATTTAATGGCTCAAAAACAAAATACCTTACAAATTCAGTTTCTAGATATCCCAGAAATAGCAAGATTCATTTTACAGACACAAGGTAAATCTTAGCTGATTTTAAATATAAACTTTTCCAAAACAGGTTGTAAATAAATTTAGACAAATTTGGCTCTTAACCTTTAAAGATTTCCTGCCCATTTCTGTATGTCTTTTATTACATTAATTTTTTATTTAAATTACACCATTAACTCGATATGAATTTATCAAGAATACATGTATTGATTTATAAAACAGTACCATTAATTATTATAATAGCTAGATGTAGCTGATATTACAAAGCCATTTAAAGGTTTTTAATATAACTTGGACATACATAGATAGATAGACATTATGGACAAGACCACAATTTAAACTGGCTACCAGCAGTTAATGAAAGCTTAGATTTATATTCTAGTTTAGAGATTGACCATATTGTTGCTTTGCAGAACTATTTACATCATGCCGTTTTTCAAAGGGTGTCTCAATAAAAAAGCTAAATAAAATATTCAGTCAATTCCCAAAGCAGATTTTGTTTTCTATATTTTAAATGCTTAGTGAAAATAATTGATTGTGTGTGTTCCAAGCTTTGTCATGTCCATTCCAGGCGGCTTTCCTGAGGGGAGCCTCATTTGCATATGCACACTTTCACATACTTTTGATCCTTGCTGAAGCAAGCCCCTTTATTTCATCATCCGCCCCCCAATAAACCCGTGTATATGTCACAAAACCCATACATCAGGACGCAGAGGCTTTTTGGCATCTTTTATGTTATGCTTTCTTTTTCCTTAAGGTTGTGGAAATCTGGGACTTACCCCAAAGCCGCAAAGCAGGCAATCACAAAGATATTTGGGTAAGAAAGCAATCTGAAGAGGAAGAAAGAAAAATGAGGAAAAATATAAGCAAGTAACAACATCTTCAAATTCCTTTTCATTCAGATGTAATTAGCCAGTGAATAGACTGAAATTTAAATTCTTTCACATGGTACTTGGCTTGGGTCTCCCAGCCTCTTTTATTTATATCACTTTTCCCTGCCTGGCAACATATGTTACCGATTTATTATAGTATTTTTACTGTTAGCAGACAAACCTAAAGGCTAGCTGAGAAGGCCAGCTTCATCTGATGACTCTAACAACAACTGCAGGGCATCCTTGAGGGGGAGCCAATAGGCTCTTTTGAAGCTGTAATGCTATTAACCCTTTGGATGCCAAAATGTTTCCTACCAAAATGGGTTCAGACTTTCTGTAGACATTACAGATTTACCTGGACAAAAGTTAAATGTAAATGATTGATTCTATAAACATCTAGGTAACCTCTTCCACACCTTCTTTCACATCTCAAGTCCCCTTCAAGCTGTGTGAGTTACTGGTTCCTTTATTTCCCCTTTCTTTTACAGCGTGCTAAAGTCTGTGTGCATGTTGATAAACACCCCCTGTCAAGTTGTCACCACACCCTCCCCGTATCACTAATTCCCTGTTATTTTCTTAAAAAGAAATAAAAAATCCTTTAGCATTGAATTAGTCACATTTTTTGGTATGTGTGCATCCCAGAAAAGCAGAATTCAACTGAAATTCTTAGGTAAAAACCTGAAATTATGTTTCAAATGAGAGGGAGCAGCTTTTAAATCTATTTGCATGAGTATGTGACACTAACCAAAGGTTGGTGCCTTGTGATTTGTCCACATAAAAATGTCTGCCTTCAAACTCTGAGTCAACAACTCACAGGGCCCATTTTAAAGGTGCCAAATACACTCTGCGAAGTTCCTCAGTCCAAATCCTCTAGCTATTTTAAAATTTTTAGAAACAAATATTTTCTCCATTTAAATATCCATATGGGTCCACTGACAATTTCAGATACATTTTATAGAATATCCTTTAAACATTCTTTTTTTTGAAATTTTTAAAATTGCATCTCAGATATTGGAAAGCCAATATTGTCCAAGGTCTCAGCTTAGCAACCAAAATTTAATTATTTTCATTATTAGAATTGAAACAATGAAAAAATCAAATATTCCTAACAGACTTTAGGGATTTGAATGTTGAAATGAATTCTGAAGAGCAGAAGGGCACGCTGACAACTTGTCTGTCCAGACATATCTAACACTGAACATTCCATCCAAGAACTGTAACAGTGACAGAGCTCTGCAGCAGTTACACAACTGAACCTGAGTTTAGGGCATTAGCATGCAAAATTTGAGTTCAGATCAGATGGTAAAATAACTACCAACTGGCAACCCATTTCTCTGATTCCAGCTCTTATTAAAAGTTCTCAGATGTCCAACATTGATATGTACTTCATGCTACTTTTCAGTCTTTTCTTAGTACTACCTATGCATAGCATTGACATAGAATAAGGCAGTACGTAAACTATGTATCTGTGCATGTAATTACACAGGCTCATCCTAGGGTTATTATTTAAAAGTAGGGCTAGTATTTAAATCCCTTATATTTACTGTATACATTTCCTTTTGTGTCCCCAAGAGGCATCATATAGTGACCTGACTAATTGCTATGGAAAATTTCCAGTCGATATGATTATGATAGAAAGGATTTCAGCATCAGAGAATGAGGTCAATTTTAGAAGAATAAGCAAGCACACTGTGGTCCCAAGAGATGTCATAGAGAGAGAGTTATGAGCAGGACTCCACGTCAGACCTGCTGTGCCATAAATGAACTTGTCCTGAATGGGTTGATCAGGTCACAACGGCTTTGATATTAATCCTCTTAGAAGAAAATGAATGTAGAGAATTAGTTTCTTCTTCAAAAAGGCATGGTTTTGAATCAAAATGGAATCTCCAGCCCCGTTTGGTCCCTGTATGTAGCAGCCTGGTAAGGAGGGGAGGGGATGCCTCCAAGCTCTTTGCCAACAGCCCCTAGGCTCTGTGGTCACCCCACCCACCAATACGCCATATTCTCCTTCTCTCCCCTCCAACCTAAAACAGGTGTCATTTAAAGCCCGAGTCTGAGGTTGCCCTGGCTTCCTGGTTCCGGCCCTGTGGTGGCGCAGACATCCACGTGGCCCTTCTAGTGACTGTCACAGCCTCTGCTGAAGCCCTTCTCCCTCACCTCTGCCCTGCATCATGGCCCATCCCCGGCTCTCTGTTTTGTCCATCACTCCCCCATCCCATTTCTGACCTACGCATTTTCTAGATCCGTCATAGGTAGGTTAAGAAGTAATGAGAACCAGATGGACACTGCACAGAAATTGCCCAAATGGGTTTGAGAACGCGAGGAGCTGTCAGGCATGGAGAGAAGCTGGAATTTTTCAGCAATAAAATGGGATTTATCACCACTCTACCACAGTCATTGCCGACAACCGTTTACCTCGACAGAAACCCCATTCCAATAGGCTATGCCGATGCAGATTCTTTTTTCTCTGAAGAGTGATGATTAGTATTTGTTCTAAGGCTCGAATGGCCGGCACTGGAGGTAAAACATTTAGGCCAAAGTCCTGCAACCCCCACTGAGGCAAATGAACCTGCTAAATAAGTTCCTTCCACAAGGACTGTGTAATTGAAACCAGAAAGTGAGAGAATTTGATAAATTGCTCGACCCTGAAAGAATGTTAAGGTCATAAATTTTCATTGCATGTTTTCCTCCCTTTTAAAATTTTTTTATATTGATTGTATTTAGTATTTGCCTCAAAATTCAACAAGCTTACAGATCATCAGTTGTGGCCCTGAGGGAAGTACAGTAAATCATCAGTTAGAAAAGCAGGGGCAATCTCCCCTGTCTTCCAGAGAGGGGTGTTGTTGGCTCCTTGGAACTCCAAGGACCCTCAGGGAAGGTCTTATATTTCAGAATTATTCCAACTTAACACACAATTTGTTCTGGCACGAACAACGTACAGGAAAGATTTTTTTCTAAAGGGTGCTGCGCCACTTCCGTCCATTAGGAATGATGAACCGTTAAACACCCAGCAAGCCATTCGCCCCACTGGCACCTACCGACCTTCCCACACACACCCCTGAAATAAGAACTGTGGTGTTTGGCTAGAACTAGAAGGACGATCCTTGTTTTTTAGGGAGATGGAAAGTGTGGCTGTACACATATGCATTAGCACCCCTTCTTCTGAATACTGATTTTAGCAAGTCTGCATTGATATTATTCAAACTTTTCTTGAAGTATTGACTTAATGTGAAATAAAGCATAAGTCATATGAACACTCCATGTTATACATTACATATTATAAAATTGGCTAAAATGCTGAAGTCGTCACTCGTCATACAGTGGAAAATTACTACACATCTTGCTGTGAGGTTTTACTCTTTTTTTTCTAAGAATTGAATGAACTATGTTTTTCAGCATTTTAATTTAGCTATGCTCTCCACTGATCATGCGTAACCATGTACTGTAAAGACAAATGCTCTCTCGATCTAAGCAGGGTAGGTGATTATTTTATAGTCCAAACTTCTTATCCTTGGAAAACTTTAAAGAACAGCCTCTTATATATCTGCATATTTGATTTGCAGACCCACTATACAAAACCAGAGATATCTGATCAGTAATGCATCACTTTTGTGTTCAGAATTCTCAGAATTTGGGAGACCTAAAATAGGAAACAATACTTAGTGAGCATTGAGATCATTTCTCTAAGAAAGATTCCTTCTCATTTGTTTTCAGTTACTAAATTACCAGATTAGAGTTTGAAGTCAGTGCTAGTTCTAAGATGTATGAGTATTATGTAATTTATGCTACATTCCATAAAGTATAAAAAGTAGGGGCTAAATAATTTTTTTCATTAAAGTAATTAATGACCAGTTATTATTAAGAGTACTTCTATATCAAAAATGTTTTATCACGGTTGTAGGAAATAGTCCGTAAAAGAAATAAATTCCAAATACATTCTCAACAATACAATGTCGGAGACATTTTTGGTAACACAAATAAGTAAATAGTATTGGGGTTGTTGAAAATCTTGGACTATGGCACAAAAATAAAGTCAGGATGATAATCTGCATTTTCTTCACTTGTGCATGCACACACGTTCTCCTAAGACCCCAGCTCTACACTTAACCGTGGGGGGCCATGATGCCATGCGTATATTCTGCCTTTGATCCACTGGGTTGTTTTCCAGCCCTAAAATGTGGCTTCCTTCCTCTACACCTAATTTTTTTTTGTTGCAAGACTATCTCAAACAAACAAAAAATAAATAACTATATGCATATGTATACTTATATACCTTTAAATAAAATATGAACAGAAAATGGATTCACTCACTAATATTTTTGCAAACTAATGTTCAGCTGATGCAACTCAATTTTATTTTGCATCACATTAGTGTCATAATGGTAATGACTAGCCTTTATTCACTAACAGTTTGAGTCAGCACTTTGAGACGTTTTCAAATTAGGTCATACTGCACATTTGTGGCTGATACAAAGGTTGATTAAGAGAGCTATACAATTGTAAAGTGATGTGGTGTGAGTTGAATTAAGTTCTCCCTGATAGTTACGGGAAATGAGAGTCACCATAACTTAGCAGAAATAATGTGTGGACAAGTGGGGGGAATGTATTCCCATGGAGGGCTTGAGGTATTTTTCATTTACAATTTAACAAAGTCTCTTGTCTCTTATGAAAGAATTCTATCATGGGGCCTGGAACAAGCAATGAGCTACAGAAAGGACCCTGGTGGCTGGCCCCCAGGTCTGTGTCTGCAGTCTGCTTTTGCCTTTGAGTCCTCTTTCTTGTCTTAATAATGTTTTTGTTTTTTTCCTTTCCAGATCTATAGCTTTGCTAAAATTAAAGTGATCCTGTGTCACAATTAAGCCATTTTCCCATAATGTAACAATTCTGAGGCAAGGCTTACTTTGTAAGCTAGACCTGGAGGGAGAGAGAAAAAAAAATCAGACTGTTTAGAGGGATATTGTCATGACAAATCCACGA